ACCCCAGGGGCGCGTGTTCTCCCGCTGCAGGCCCAGGGTCGGTATTTCTCCTGCCTTTGCAGCTTCCCGGGACCCAACAGCCCCAGGCCCCAGAGCTGCTCCGGGTGCTCGGGTGTCATTATTCCCCTGTATCACCGCCGAGCTGGCACCTTCCCCGCCGGTACCCTCATGCCGGGCCCAGGGTGTGATGCCGCTCTGGCTCACCACGTCCATGAGATCGGGGCTGTTTCACGTGCCTTGCACATGACTCACCTGCTTGCATATCTCAGGCTGCTATTTGCCTTTTTGTCACACTGCTCTGAGCTGTTGACACATGTTTGGCTTGTGACCCTCTCTGTCCCACAGGTTCTGGTTTGCAGAAGTGCCGCCACGTCATTAGTTCCCTATCCTGCAGCTGCACGGTCGCTGGTACCTGCCTACATGCGGGACCGTCTGTTTGACGTCACTGAATTGCTCTGCTCTTTTTCTGACCACTTTTCCTGTTTGTCAGTCTCATCGTAAGGGGGACCTGTGTTCTGCAGCATCCCTGCAGCCTTCCCCAGCCAAATGGCATCGTAACCCAGAGAGCGAGTACACGACTTTGTTACCGTGCAAGTGTGAGGGATGGAGCCAGGAGAGAGCAGAGGTGAGGCACTGCCAAGTGCCCTCCCAGCAGCTGTCACCACCTGCAGCCGGTTCGTCTAACCCACAGGCATGGGCTTGCACAGGAGAACTGGGCATCAGAGGCCTAGAAAATCAGGCACTGTGGCATCTTCCTCTTCCCTTTGCAGGTTAATGTAGTGCTAGGAAGCCAAGTCATGGTGTCTGGGCGATCAAAGCAGCAAGCAGCCCAAGAGCGGCTGACCAGCAGCGACCTGGCAGGGAAGAGGCCATCAGAGTGCACTGCAGGCTAGCGAGGTCTGCCCAAAGCTCAGCTGTATGGCATGGAGGAGGCTGCACAAAGCAAGGAGAGCCCAGAGCACTTACAGCCTCAGCACCTGAACAGGGGTCTCATCACCAGACTCACACACAGCAATAAAAGCCGCGTGCTGGCTGCAGGACAGACAATGACACTGCAGGAAAGCCAGCTCAGCGCTGCCAGGTTGGGTTATTCACGTGCAGGGAGCAACTGCTGGGGCTTGCTGAGCACAGGCCATGCTTGTGCTTGCTCTTTGCCTTGTGGCCTGCACCAGCCCCTGCCGAGTTTTGCTGCTGGTGGGCGCTGAGTTCAAGCCTGGCCCTGGAGAAGGCTGCTGGGGCAGACTGGAGCGGCCAGCCATGGCAGGGGCAGTGCTGGGAGCCACCCAGTGCCCCTGGCGTGGCCACGGTGCCCAGGGACAGGGCAGGTTAGCGGTAAAGAGCTGTGGATGACATTACCCTGTCCAGGAAGACTGTCAGAGAAGGAAGTCAGGCAGGGCTGTGCATACACGGGTGTGTTTGCTGTGATTCTTCCCCTTCCCTGTTGCCCCTGGGAGCACCTGGCTATTTGTTCCATGGTTTTCTTGGACTTGGAAGTTGAGCTAAGTGGCCTCTCATTCTTCACTTCCTTTTTTTTCTCCTATCAAAGACAGGCACTGTGTCACCCCTTTTTCCTGTTCTCTGAAACCTCATCCATCCTCTACCAGTTCTCAATATTATCCTCACTCATCTTCAGCCCAGCCAGTCTGATCACATTGTCCCTTATCCAGCACGAGCACCCATCTCTGGCGCTCATGTTAGTGGCGGTAATCATGCGGTCGCAGCCGCCCTCCTCAGTGCAGGCTGAGGGGAAGAAGCCATCGAGCACTTGAGCCCTGTCACCTTCTGCTGTCCCTCCCAGTCTCGGTAGGACACTGGGCCACGTGGGCTGCTCAGCACCCTCCTACTGACACCTTCCCTTTTGAAGGTTTTCTTGCAATCCTTCATGTTTCTTGCTAGTTACAATTTGTCTCATACTTTGGCTTCCCTGATTTTTTGTTAATTTCTTCTGTTCCTCCGATTTTTTTCACCTAGTTTCTACTTTTACGCCTTTCCTTCTGAAGTTTCATGTCATTATCTGAACTACGAGCCCCCGCTTCCCCCAGTGCCGGGGTGGTTTCCATTGTGCCCTATTGCTTCACTAAAGCCCTGCCAGGCTTTCTGAATGCTTTTTGTTGGACCTGATGTCCAGCTCCCTGAATTCCTTAGGTTTTCTCTGAAAGGCGCTTTGAAGGTGCTCTCCACTTCGACACCCTCAAGCGCTTCCTCTCTTTTGTCTAGAATGGGGTCTGGGAGAGCCTCCCCTGGGGTTTCCTGCACGAGCCGGCCCAAAGCTCTTGGTAGCCCGAGCCCTTCGCTCTTTATTGACAGGCTACACCCCCTAATTCACAGGCCCGTCCTCGGGGTGCGTTATGCCGGTCGGATCATCATTTCAGACGTCTACCAAGACCTCCCACTGCGGCACCTGTGTAACTGCACCAGCACATGGGGAAGGAGCACGCCGTGCCGGGGGCGATGGCCCTGGACCCCCACCTCCCGGGGCTTGTGGGCTCTGGTCACGGGCTGTGGCTCACAGCCCCTGCTCCGAGCTTGACCTGTGTTGTAGAAGTCACTTTTTAGCTGACATAAGAATCCAAAGACTTGCTGAAGCCTTGGACTGCAAGCCTGTCTCCTGGTTACGCTGACCAAATGCTGATCTCTTACCTAGCTGCAAACCAGGAGGGTGAGGGAGCCGCGACCGTCGGCGGAAGCTGCAGCTAATCACGATAAGAAAAGGATCGTCCCGCCTGGAGACGGGGGAAGGATCCAGTGAGGAACAAGAAGGCCCCAGACCCAAATATTGCTGTGGGACCGAACCGTCGCCCGAGGGGAGGGGAGCTTAAACTGCGAGCGTGTCATTGCCCAGGGCTTGCTTTGTTCGGGGTCCCTCTCCAGAGGCACCCAGCTCGAGCTGCTCTTCACCACTGGACCACGCGACAAATTCCCCTGGCGTACGTCGTGTCGGAGACTGTGCTTCGGGGAGACCTGGGGTCGAGCCTGCGGGGAGAGGAAGCGCCCGAGGGTGAGCGCGTGTGTGTGAGTGTGAGCGGGGAGTCGAAAGGGGCACCCATCGGCTCAGTGGGGCTGCCCGCTGCGAAGGGCCTCCGCTCCGAGCAGTTGACGTCTCGGGTGGTGTGGGCGCGACTCCCCGAAGGGTGTGCGAACGCTCGGGCGGCTGCTGCTCCTTTAGCACCGGGCTCAGCAGCCGCCGCCGGAGATGGAAAGCTGCAGGGCGGGAAGGCCCCCACGGCCCCCACGGCCGGGGAAGGGGCGGCAGGGATGAGGCCAAGGTGCCACCTCCTCCCGGGCCTCGGAACAGCGTGGGACAGTGCCTCCGGCGGGCCTGGAGGCCGGGACCTCCCCCGCGGGGGGC